CCCATAAGGCCTTTCACCAGTGTGAACTATTTGGTGTATAAAAAGGTTGGATTTATGGCTGAATAATTTCCCACATTCACTGCATTCATAAGGCTTTTCTCCCGTGTGTAGTCTCTGGTGCTGAACAAGTAAGTATTTCTGACCAAAGGCTTTCCCACACTCACTACACCTGTAATGCCTTTTTCCAGGGGGAACGCCTTCCCCACTTTTGGTGCTCCTGCATGGCTCCCCTCCACTAGGAGCTGCCTGAGGCTTGGGAAGACCAGAGCTTCCTGGGGAGATCTTCCCACTCCTCTCATGCTCTTCTCTTGTTGAGGGTTTCTCTCCAGAGTTCAAGTCCTGGTGTTGGTGAAGGTTTGCTCTGTCCACTTCTACACAACCACTCTGCTCAGAAGATGCCTTGTCAACCTCTGCTCCACAGCAACAACCTGCAAACACAGAAATGCTGATGAAGTGTCTGTGGAGTATGTAGACTTTGGTGGGATGGGGCAGCACCCTCACACACGTCTGACACAGGCAGTAAGGCGTTCCTGGGACCCTTCTTAGTTGTCACCTTTGTCGCAACTTGCCTTCAGTGGCAAAACCCAAATCTTCCAGTGACCTTTAGCATCACCACAACTTAGGTGGAAAGTGTCACCCATCACAGTGAGCATTGCCAAGGATGTTGAGATACCACAGCATCAACTGTACCATAACCTGTGAAGCTCCCTATTTCTGGCTGTGTCAGCATCCCAACACACAGGCCGGAGCACCCTGCCCAGGCACACTGGTGTGAGGAGGCTGGTCCCCCGCACAAGCAGACCTTCTTGTCCTCACCTGAGTGTGACCTAGTTATGTTCAGATGCACCCATAAAATCCCACTGTGCCTTTTCTTGTACTCCCCCTACCAACAAAGGCACCTGCTGACAGGTCCTCACCCTCTGCTTCCCCCTGCTTGTTGGAGCCCACTCCCTCCAGTGTGACCCCCGCTCCTCCCCTTGGTGGGTAGTGACTACCTCTTTGGGCCTGTGAGCACAATCAACTTTGTTTTTTTTCCTTAGGCTCTCCTGTGTTTCCTCTCATGGCCACAGCTGACTAGCCATGTCATAAAACACTAGAAAATGAAGCCATTATTGGTGAGCACTGCAGAGTGGAACAGAGGGTAGGGGACAGCCCTGGCAGCTGAGAAGTGGGCAGCTGAGGGAAAAAAGATGGAAATCAGCCTTGGCCCCTTCTCTGACACCAAAACATCAGGGCCCCCTGGGGAGACTCCTGGTGCAAACTCATCCCTGGGTTCACCCCAACCCTCCGCCACCTCCCTCCAAGTACCTGCTGGTGTGGCTGTGGTTGAGACTCCCTCGGAAGGCACACAGGGCTCCCCACACTGCTCCAGCAGAGTCATGTCATGGGTCCTGAACGATGTGAGTCCTACGGAAGGAACAAGGCAGGAGGGTCAAAGTGACCCACTCCTCAGCAGCCCACAGGAACTAAGGCTGAGTGTAACCAACAAGAAGGTGGGAAAAAGATGCTGCAGCAACATCCTGATCAAGCAGTGGCCAGGTCAGCACCTCAGTTCCTGACACAGGCAGATCCCACATCAGCCAAAAGAGGAGGGCCAAAGTGGGGTGTTGGACTGCTGTGGATCTCTTTGGCATCACCAGGCCAGGGAGAGGCCAGTAGTGTAGGATCCATCTGACCGCAACACTTGGGATCCCTAAACCCATTCCTGTACAACCATGGAGCAGCTTGGGGACAGAAGGGGGTGGTGCACCCAGGCTTGGCTGTTATACCTACTCTAGGACACAAGAAAGGAGGGAGTACCAGACCAGCTTTGGGAGGGACGGACCTGCCCTTGGAGAGGGGAGGAGCTATAGGATGCAAGGACCTTACCGAGAGAGGCCATCAGTGAGAAGGTCTCCAGCATTACCCCGTGGTACAGGAGCCTCTGGGCCTCATCAAGGAGCCCCCACTCCTCCCAGGAGAAGTAGACAGCCACATCCTCAAAGGTCACTCGGCCCTGCCACGATGGGGATGGTTCAGTTTACATGCAGACTTCTTTCCTGGGACTCTAACCCTCCTCCCGAGCTCCCCGCCTCAGTGGAGATACCAGGCCCTGGTGTTGCTGATGTCCACCCTCCTGGCCACCCCAGCGATCACCATGTTCTGCCCTCAGCAACAACAGGTGGGGGACAGGTGTCATCTGAGCTCTGGTGCTGACCTACAAAGTCTCACCCTTCTGAAAGACAATTCACCCAGGATCCTTCAGACTGTGGTTCCCAAGAACAACCAAAATTGAGTCCCCTTCTCCTTTCACCCAAGTACAAGGGCCTGGGGCCATCAGCTGGCACTCTCTCCCAACATGCATATTGTTCTTCACACCACACCTCCCTCATGGCCCTGACCCTACTTGGCCCTTACCCTGGCTTCATCCTCAGCATCTTGAAACCTGGAGTAGATCTCAGGTACACTGAGCCCTCTTCCATTCTGTGTTACAAAGCAGTCCCCTGACCAGTCTTAGCGTCCTCTGACACTTGTTGAAAGCCCAGGTCCACTTGTCTCACATCATGCCCACCAACAGTCCCAGGGGACCCCATGTAACTTTGTGCTGACCTCCAGGTTCCTATAGTGGTAAGAACAAGAGCCTGGGGAGCCCACAGCTGGATGAATCAGCAGTAGCACCGGCTTTGCTCTCATCTCCCTGCCTGGTCTCCACCTACATCTCATGTCCACTCCCCATGGAAACCTGGCCTCCAGCCAGATCCTCCTCCCTGCTACAATGCCTCCCCACCATGACCACTACACTCCCCTCATGTGTTTCTATGAAACCCAGCACCCCATCCAGCAAGAGACCCAGTCCTCAGCCCCACACTCCCCTCCCTTGTTACCTAATGCACTGCCACGGGAACTGAAGGTACTCCCTGCCAAATCTGATCACAGCTCCATCCTGGCCCATGTACCACCCACACTGTGGGTGAATCCAATCTGAACCCTTCACCTGAACTCTAGCCTGTGGGTCAAGGTGCTCAGGGTAGGAATTCAATCGAGGGTTTCTGGGTTCAACAGCCAGAACCTAACTCCTTATTCCCAGTGAGAATTCCTCTTGCCACTGACTTGGATGTGGTGGCACTTCCCTCCTTCTAGCTACTGAGGCCAAACATCTCAGAATCACCTGACTCTTCCTCTTTTCTCTCCTAACCTTTCACATCAGATAGTCTGCTCAGACCTACTTGAAAGAACAAACACACACTCCCAACACGTTGCGCACCTCCACTGCCACTACTCTGGCCCATCTACCACCACACTCACTTGGGCTACTGTAGTAGCCTCCTCCCTGGTCTCCCTACCACCCAACAGTCTGCTTATTAAGCCTGGCTCAGATCAGTTCCTTCTTTGGCTCTAAACCCCTGTGGCTCCCACCAGCCTCTGAATTGAGGCACACCTCTGCAGACCACCATTCCAGGTCTAACTTCTCTGCTTCTTGCTGTTTTCACCACACATAAGGGGGAACCTAAGTTTGCTGGGCATTCCTAACTCAACCTCACCTCTTCTAATATTTTCTCATGATCACTGTGAATGGACTCTCTTCTAGGCCTCATGCCACTGGCTGCCAGAAATGGGAACCAAACCATATGATTCCTGGTCTGCACTCAGGAACCTGATCTTGGATGACCACCTTCCAGGGATCTTAGATGGCAGGGTGAGGAGCATAGCAGGTAAAACAAGTCCCAGGATGCTATAATCCTGGAGCCCAGGCAAGTGGGAGGTGAAAAGGGTACGGATCTAGGACACTTTATCACTTACCTCTTCATGGTCTGGAAGCCACTCTGCAGCCACAGCAACCTATGGAAAAGCCAGGCCATGAGAAGCAGGCAATAATATTGGGCCCCAATGGCTCAACCAAGGTACCTCAGTCCTCAGTGATACATGCCTCTCAACAGCTGTGTAATCTTGGACAAATACTCGACCTCACTCGACCTCCCTGTGCAGTGTTGTGATCTGTCAAATGTGGATAATAATGGTGTCCACCCAAGAGGGCTATTGTTTGCTCATTTCTATGCATCAAGTTCTAACTATTGACTCTCACGGTCCTCATAAGTGATACTTCTGTCAGTATTTCCTGATTGGTATTAAAAATGTACTTTTTCAACATGCCTTTTAACTAAGAAAATATAATATTGAAGATGTTTTATTTAATCAAATGCTTAGCAGGATATTGATGTTTCAACTAATTATTATATGTTAGCTTGTTAAAGCTGTGTTGTCTTAACTGCCTATGTGTGTATGTATATTACATACATATTTATGTACATATGTATATATGTATTTTCACCAATTAGTGTTAAATGAGTATTTATTTCATAAACTCACAAGATAAGGAACTGGGGGATTGGGCCTGAGAAAACTGAGTAGCTACTAGTCCAGTTGGCAACTGGCTGCCTGGTATATACACCCTCCTGGAGGGAAGCCTGCTAGAGGCCTTTCCACTGGAGCAGCTACTCATCCCTCCTGTCCTAAAAGCTGGGGGAACTTAGGCATCAAAGGAGATGCCCTACTAGCCTGAGTGTTCTTTTTCTCCACGAGGGGAAAAGAGGGCCTGCTGAGCCTGGCATGGCAAATCTACACCACTGACCATCTCAGTCTCCAGCCCAGACCTGGGTCCGTTAACCATTCCTCCAAACCAGCCAGAAACACTTTGGAGCACAGGAATCATCCCTCTGGAGGTGGCCCACCCTGCAGGCTCATCTGAAATAAAAACCTTAACATTCTTCCTCCTAAATATAAGCCCCAGTCCGTGCTGCGGACCAGACCACTCCCCACCATCCCTTGGATATCTCCAGCCCAGATCCCTCCTTGGAACCCCGGAACCCCTCAGGTGAGTAAGCCAGTTGCCCATGCAACACGTCCACCCTGGGAAACCCCAGGGTTGCCACGTCCAAAATCCAACTCCCATCTTTTCCCTGAAACCTGCTCCTTGCAAACCAAAAAAACAGGTTCGTCCTTCACAGCCACAGCTGGTGCAGCAGGAAATCCTGTCTGTCCCACTTTTTTTTTTCCTGTCCCACTTTTAAAGCCTGTGAGAGACCTGATCATTTCTCCTCTCTCTGGCCACCAGCACTCCATGGTATTTACTTCCTCACAGGTTAGGGTTAGGGACAGTCTCCACTCACACTCTCATCACCACTACCCCTGTCTCTTTTTCCCTGCGAAGACTTTGGACAATTTTGACACACAGATTGAGCCTCTCCTCTTCACAACCCTCCCTGGCTACTGGCGGCCGCACAATGAAGGTCCAGCTGCTGCGGCTGCCTTGTCCGGTGTGACTCATCCTCTCATGCGGTTGCGTGCAGACTCCAGACAAATCTCAGGTTTAAGACTCTCAGTTCTGTCACTGTTTCAAGGCTTTGATCGCGCCGGTCCCGCGGCCTGTAACCCTCTCCCACGCCCCATCATACTGGCTGACAGAAATACGGCCTCTCGCCCACTCTCTCCTTACAGACCTGGACCCAGGGTCTTGAGCAGGGGACGATCAAGGTGGCCTTTAGCGTCTAGTGGGGCGACGGCGGTGAGACCGGAGGACGAACATTTACCTCAGGCGGGACTGTCAGAGCGGCCGCTGCCATTGGACTCTGTGGGCGGAGCGGGGCCAGGAGCTGTGGACCAGGTCGGGCCCCAGGCATCCCTGCCCCGGAGTAGGAATCAGGTGACTCCCGGGCGCCGCTGCTGAACGTCAGACAAGCATTAGTGCCGAGAAGAGAACGCCGGCCTCCTCTCGCGCCTTCCCTCTCCCGTCACCCCAGTTCAACACCAGCTTCCCGGAACCTCTCATCAAACACACAGACCCAAAAGACCCCCAAAACGACCGCCCCTTCCCACCACCGAAGGCGGAAGTCCCGCCCCGCGGGTTCCAATGGGGACATATCTGCGCTGTCGGCTGAGCACCGGCCCCGCAGGAAGCAGCGCCTGCTGGGTAATGTAGTTCACGCGCCGCCAAACCTCAGGAAGTGGACAGGTAATAGGGCGGGGCTGGGCGCAGTCGTATGCTCGCGCCAGTTACCGCATAGTCCTTACCTGGTAACCGTTACCGCGAGACAGCTGTGGGGACTGCTAACTCCAGACCTAGGTAGGGCGGTTAGAGGTCCCGCTGGGCCAACCGGCCAGGTGTTGGTCCTCTGGTGGAGAGTGTGGCAGAGGGTGGCTTTCTCCCGGGGACCTTCCAGGCCTCACGGCTGCAGGTGAGCTGGGGGGCACTGCTGGCGGGAGGCTGGGGCCCTGTCCTACTGAGCTCCAGAGCCCTTGCCACCCTGGCCCGCTGGTGGGACCTAGGTCTTGAGGCAACGGGGAACCTCTCTGCCATCCCTGCCTCCATGACCTGGTGGCAGCAGCAGTGTGCACGGGTCGCAGTGCGCAGGACCTGGGACGCACGTGCACTCCACTCCCGTTGGGGCATCAGAGGAGCCTGAGGGCTAGTTGGGTCCTGGGCACCTGGTTCCCTCAATGATGACAGCTGTACAGGGTCTGGGGACCTGACCTTGAGGGCACTGCTGGCTAAAACCTGCCTCTCTTTGCCAAGCCTGGACACTGGCAGGAGGACCCAGATTGAGCACTGGGTGAATGTTCCCTGACAGGATTATGGGCCCAAGCAGGAGCTCTCCTCTCATCAGCCAGGACCTAGACCTTGGAGGGTGAAAGTTGTGCCCTGGGCTCTTGCCCTTTCTCCTTATAACAGAGAATAACATTCATTTGCTCTAGGCTTATAGAAAAATCATTTGACCGTGACTTGATCTCAAGAACAAGTGATCTGAAGCCAAAATTTGCAACAACCGTCAGGTTGGTTTATTAGTTTCACACTCCCAAAGCAGTCCTCCTCATCCTCCAGTCAAGCCGTCTTGGCTTTCCCCTTTTATACTTCTAGTCTTCTCCTTTTTAGGCATCGGTGAACTAAAATGGACTGGAATGGACAAATTTAATTCAGATGACTGTTATATCTACTACTGTGGGCAAGAAGCCCTTAGAAGAAATGGAGTATCTCTTATAGTCAACAAAAGAGTCTGAAATGCAATACTTGGGTGAAATCTCAAAAATGAAAGAATGATCTTGGTTAGTTTTCAAGGCAAACCAATATCACAGAATCCAAGTCTATGCCCCAACCATTAACGCCAAAGAAGCTGAAGTTGAACGGTTCTATGAAGGCCTACCGACAACACCTAGAACTAACACCAAAAAAAAAAAAAAAAGTCCTTTTCATTATAGGGGACTGGAATGCAAAAGTAGGAAGTCAAGAGATACTTGGAGTAACAGGCAAGTTTTGCCTTGGAGTACAAAATGAAGCAGGGCAAAGGCTAACAGTTTTCCCAAAGAACACACCAGTCATAGCAAACACCCTCTTCCAACAACACAAGAGAAGACTCTACACATGGACATCACCAGATGGTTAATACCGAAATCAGATTGATTATATTCTTTGCAGCCATAGATGGAGAGGCTCTATACAGTCAGCAAAGACAAGACTGGAAGCTGACTGTGGCTCAGATCAAGAACGCTTTGTTGCCAAATTCAGAGTTAAATTGAAGAAAGTAGGGAAAACCACTAGGCCATTCACGTATGACCTAAGTCAAATCCCTTATCATTATACAGTAGAAGTGACAAATAGATTCAAGGAATTAGATCTGATAAGAGTGCCTGAAGAACTAGGGAGGGAGGTTTGCAACACTGTACAGGACGTAGTGATCAAAACCATCCCCAAGAAAAAGAAATGCAAAAAGGCAAAATGATTTCCTGAGGCGGATTTACAAATAGCTGAGAAAAGAAGGTAAACTGAAGGCAAAGAAGAAAAGGAAAGATATACCCATTTGAATGCAGAATTCTAACGAATAGCAAGGAGAGATAAGAAAGACTTCCTAAGTGAATAATGCAAAGAAATACAGGCCAACAATAGAATGGGAAGACTAGAGATCTCTTCAAGAAAATTAGAGATACCAAGGGAACATTTCATGCAAAGAAGGGCACAACGAAGAACATAAACAGTATGGACCTAACAGAAGCAGCAGATATTAAGGAGAAGTGGCAAGAATACACAGAACTATACCAAACAAAAAGGTCTTAATGACCCAGATAACCACGATGGTGTGATCACTCACCTAGAGCCAGACATCCTGGAGTGCGATGTCAAGTGGGCCTTAGGAAGCATCACTACGAACAAAACTGGTGGAGGTGAAGGAATTCCAGTTCAGTTCAGTTCAGTCACTCAGTCATGTCCGACTCTTTGCAACCCCAAGGACCGCAGCACTCCAGGCTTTCCTGTCCATCACCAAATCCCGGAGTTTACTTAAATTCACATCCTTTGAGTCAGTGATGCCATCCAGCCATCTCATCCTCTGTCATCCCCTTCTCCTCCCACCTTCAGTCTTTCCCAGCATTAGGGTCTTTTCAAAGTTGAACTATTTCAAATCCTAAAAGATGGTGCTGTGAAAGTGCTGCACTCAATATGCCAGCAAATTTGGAAAACTCCGCAGTGGCCACAGGACTGGAAGAGGTCAGTTTTCATTCCAATCCCAAAGAAGGGCAATGACAAAGAATGTTCAAACTACAACACAGTTGCACTTATTTCACATGCAACAAAGTAATGCTCAAAATTCTCCAAGCTAGATTTCAACACTGTGTGAAGTGAGAACTCCCAGATATTCAAACTGGATTTAGTAAAGGCAGAGGAACCAGAGATCAAATTGCCAACATCTGTTGGATCATAGAAAAAGCAAGAGTATTCCAGAAAAAAACATGTACTTCTGCTTCACTATGCTAAAGCCTTTGACCGTGTGGATCACAATAGACTGTGGAAAATTCTTAAAAGATGGGAATACCAGACCATCTTACCTGCCTCCTCAGAAACCTGTATGAAGGTGAAGAAGCAACAGTTAGAACCAGACATGAAACATCAGACTGGTTCCAAATTGGGAAAGGAGTACATCAAGACTGTATATTGCTCCCCCCCCCATTATTTAATTTATATACAGTGTACATGATGTGAAATGCCAGGCTGGATGAAGCACAAGCTGGAATCAAGATTGACAGGAGAAATATCAATAACCTCAGATATGTAAGTGACACCACTCTATGGCAGAAAGCAAAGGGGGAACTGAAGAGCCTCTTGATGAAAGTGAAAGAAGAGAGTGAAAAAGCTGGCTTGAAACTCAACATTCAAAAAACTAAGATCATGGCCTCTGGTCCCATCAATTCATGGCAAATAGATGAGGTAACAATGGAAGGACTGATGTTGAAGCTGAAACTCCAATACTTTGGCCACCTGATGCAAAGAGCTGACTCATTTGAAAAGACCCTGATGCTGGGAAAGACTGAAGTCAGGAGGAGAAGGGGACGACAGAGGATGAGATGGTTGGATGGCATCACTGACTCAATGAACATGAGTTTGGGTAAACTCCGGGAGTTGGAGATGGACAGGGAGGCCTGGCGTGCTGCACCTCGGTTCGCAGAGTCAGACACGACTGAACAACTGAACTGAACTTAATAATGGAAACAGTGACAGACTTTATTTTTGGGAGGCTCCAAAATCACTGCAGTTGGTGACTGCAGCCATGAAATTAAATGACACTTGCTCCTTGGAGCAAAGGTTGAGCAACAACAACTCCTTTTGGTTATGTCCTGTACAAAGTAGGGCTTGTACCCACCACGAATCTATGAAAGGGAATACAAATGGGCATACGCTCAAGGCTGATTAACAATTATAATTTACATAACAGCAGGCTATGTTGTTTATATCTCCCCATAATTTCACCTATGATAATTAGGTGTAGACTAGTCATAAATCCTTTATCAGCTCCTAACTGCCTAACTGCCCAACTGCCCAAGGTTACTTGGAGAAGCTCCTGTGGTCATTTTGTATCCACTGTGTGCCTAGGGCACATGTGTAGCAGTTGAAAAGTCTCTGCAGTTATTTTGTAGCATATATGTGAGTTCTCCTGGGTATGTCTGGGATGGAGTTTAGAGATCAGCTTGCATCCCTTTCAGGAAGGCCTCCCCTCAACGCTCATGTCTAACTTTCTACCCGATACAACCAACCACACCCCTCCCTGACTTTTCAGTTTTTCTTAAAACTTTTAGGGAGTTCGGGGTTTTGGGCATGAGACATCCATTTCCTTACCTGTCTCTGCAGTGAACCTTTCACTGCTCCAAAATCCTACATTTTGGTATAATTTGGCCTCACTGTTGGTGGGCCACATGGACTTGCATTGAGTAACAGAGCTGCAGATATTGTGGTGGAGGAGAAATCATAGTGAGAAACTCTGCTAGACTCTCTAAAGACCATCCTTATTGTAGATGGGCTTGTATTTCAATGTCCCTGCGCAGCTGGTGCTCCAGTATTTCATTCCCTTGAAGGACATAAAGAGGATCTTGAGGACCATAAGAAAGTGGTTTCCTTAGAGTGAACCAATTATACGTTACCAAGTTTCCTTTGCCAGTGCTATGCCCAATATAAAAAACCTGGTGATGAAGCAAAGACTGAGTTCTGAATGTAGGTGGTGACATGGTCAAG